TTATTACAACGAGGATAAAACTGGACCATCATTTTCTTATTGATAAAAATTTGTTTAATCATAATGGCGAAATACAACAGTAAATTAAAAAAATAGTATGTTATAATTTTATTAACATTGTAGTGTGCACAAATCTATATAACTATTTTATCATGAAACTGTTTCATATCAGATAAGTTGTTAGGTGCAGGTGTAAAAATGACTTCTTGTTGAGAAAAATAATTATCTTATTTGTTTTAAAATTCAACCCACATGTGTACAAAAATAAGAATGAAAACGTTCTTTTTTTCAAAGTTTAGTTTCTTAAAATGATAATGTCGAGAAACAACAACTTATTTTGGTCTATCACTCTTTTTCAATTTTATTTAGAAAAAAAAATAAAAAATGTATTATAAATATTTAATTATAATAATTAAAAATATAATACAAAAAAAGAATAATAACAATAATGAAATAGTGTTCATAAGCTTTATTCTTTGAGATTAAAGATCATATATACCACATCAAGAACAATCAAAACATTACAAAGAATACAGTGATATATCAACTTTACTGTTCTATTTAATATATTGTGAGTTTTATTGAACAACAAGGCATTTTATATAAGTTAAAACGGTTTTAATAAAAACAGTAAATTCAAACAATGTTAATAGTTTATTTTTCAATTAATAAATTTATACTTAAAACAACATAATAATAAATAATAATTTTTTTGTTAAAAATAAATTTATGTTGCTGAAAATTTGATATTTTTTATTAAAATGTTTTTGTTAAGAATACTTTTAAAAACCTTAACAATCGAAAACATGTTTGTTAATTATTATTTTATTTCATTTAAAACAAAGATAAGTTAGAATGTATTATAAATATGTTTTTATTCATCGTTAACATTTCATTACCAATGATACTCATAAATCAAGTACTTGAAACTATACTTGTTAAAAATATTAAAACAATTAATTAATATGATAAAAATAGCAAGAATGACTTGAATGTTTTTGTTCGAATTAAAAAAAATAATAT